CAGAGCTTGCAATGAGCCGAGATCGTGCCACTGCACTCCAGCCTGGGTGACAGAGTGAGACTCTGTCTCAAAAAAAAAGAAAAAAAAAAAGGAAAAAAGAAAACCTTACTTCAGGCAAGTTTGATTTGACCATGGTCAAAGCTACACCATCCCTTGAAGTTCTAGATAAGGAGGTCCAGGGGGCCACTTTCTTTTGGCCTTGTCCCTAGCTGCCTGGGAGAAGAGGAACCCCTGTGCAGATGTGAGATCCCCAGAAAGGCTTGGATTCACTTCTAACAGAAGGGCTGGGGTTTATGCTGAATGGGTGCATTCTCAATCTGGTTTATACTGACCTGTACCAGGTTTAATGGCAACTGGGTTGACGGTAGGGATTTCCAAATTCGGCACAAGTTCATATCCTTTTTCTTGCTGCTTTCCTTTCCCTTCATGATATCGGCTATATATACCACGGCCAGCAGAATATCCCCCGAGGTAGGAACCCCGGGGCCCCGGGGCTCTGTTGCCAGCTGCACCTCGCCCTCGGCCTCTTATGCTGCCTGCTTGTAATAACAACACAAAAGATGATGAGCAACCAACAGTGATGGTGCTGGAGGCAGACCTCAGCCCTCAGTTCTCAGCATTTAACTGTTCCAGTCTAAATTGCAGGTAGCTACACCTCTGCTCTTTAATAGGCTGGTAAAGATGCTTCCAACATTCTATTTCAGCCTAGATTTGCATCCTAAGCATGTCTGCTTAGTAAAGGGGCAAACTTGCAGGGTGAGTTTCTAGGATTGTATCTGCAATTTCAGTAAAGAAAAACATACATAGAATACCCACTCCCGCCCAAAAAAATTGGGGCCAGGTGCGGTGTCTTGTGCCTGTAATCCCAGCACTTTGGGAGGCTAAGGCTAGAGGATGGCTTGAGCCCAGGGGTTCAAGACCAGCCTGGGCAACATGGTGAGACCCTGTCTCCAAATATATATATATATACGCAATTAAATAATTTTTTTTAAAGTTAGATTTGGAAGGGGATTTGCTAGTCCACCTTCCTCATTTCATGCTTGAGAAAACAGGCCAGGGGAGACTAAAGTGACTAAAGTCACAGACTAGTTAATCAGAGAACAGGACCCAGAACCTACGTATCTTATTTTCCAGGTAATGCTGCGTTTCATTATATCCTAACCAATGATAACAAAAAACAAAATTAAAAATCATTGACTCCACCAACATCTTAAGATTTAATATCACAAGCAGGTTTTAACCTAAGCACCAAGAAATTGGTGGACGAGCCCCTAACCCGGTGGACCCCGGCAAGGCAGAATGCCAGTGTTTGCACACCCATGTGATTTTACCGCTCACCCCAGAACGACCTGTATTTCTATCAATGCTGCAGAAGTGATGGCTTTCGGTGCCAGCAAAGAACTAGACCCAGAATGCAAACCCAAAAGGAGGGTGGGAGGGCCTTCAGCACCTACCAGCTCAGCAAATGCCAGCCACGATATCCCTGGTGCCCCCTGCCTAGGAGGCAAAGTTCTTGAGGGCCCCACCCAGGAGAAGAGCCCCCACTAACCTTTCACGAAGTAGTCCCTGTTGGGCCCGATGAGCGCGTTGTAGGGGTAGCCGTAGTAGGCCAGCGTGTAGGGGTCGCAGGAGTACACGTAACTGGGCTGCTGCGCCGCCTCGGCCGCACCGCCACCCCTAGCTGCCTTCTGGTAGCGCGAGTACTGCTCCTTGTCCACGGGCTTGGCCAGCGTGACCTCCAGGCACGAGCCCTCCAGCTCAGTGCCGTTGAGGTTGTTCATGGCGTGCACGGCATCCTCGCGGCTGGTGAAGTGCACGAAGGCGTAGTCGCGGATCTTCTTGACGCGCTCCACGCAGCCAGGGTTGAACTGGCCGAAGCTCTTCTTGATGGTGTCCTCTGTGGTCTCGATCATGAGGTTGCGCACGTAGAGGATCTTCACCGTCTCCATCACGTCCTCGTCCACATCGATCTCGGGCTCGGCCCAGTCCACGGCGATCTGGTGGCCCCACAGCTGGATGCGGCCGGGCATGAGCTTGCGGCGAGCCATGGCAGCCGCGCGGTGGCTCTCGTACTCCACGAAGGCGAAGCCACGGTTCTTCATCTTGTCTGCCGCGCTGGCGTAGACGATCACGTCCAGCACGCCCTCGGTGACCTTGGCGATCTCCTCCAGGATCTCCTCGCGCTTCTTCATCTTGGGGATCCCGCCGATGAAGAGGCG